ATATATACATATATACATTATATATATATATATATATATATATATTGACTTATTATATTTATATTGACTTATTATACATATTTATACATACACATACCCTTTTATCGACACTCCATAATTCATTTTAGACCTATCAAAAGAGTTATAAACTACCGAACTCAGTGGATGTATTGTTACTATGTTTAAACACTATTTTAATATTCCTGTGCTATGATGCATACGTAACGAGTATACCCCATAAAGTCGTGAATAGCCTCTGCTATTGTGTACATATTTTCAATGGAGCCAACCGGTTGGAATCGAAAGTAACATGCTATGCATCCTTCTCCATTTTCGTGCTTTTTAAACAGGATAAAAAGTACAGTTTTAGGAAATATTCAGTGGAACTAAATGGCACCTATCCGTCTGGATAAAATTATATTATTAATAACAGTCTTACCAGGTAGGTAATTGCTTCGTTATATCATCCTAGGTAAGTTATTATATCATCCCAATTAGGTTATTACACAGATAGGTTGTTTTATCATTCCAAATTGTTTTATCTTCCTAGGTAGGCTGATGTATAATACTCTTGGTAGGTTTTTAACTTTTACCAGGTACTATATGCAGTTAGGGCGTGTTATATCATCCCAGTTATTGTCTCATACAAGACAGATTGATTATCACCTGGGGTTAGTTGTAATCATATCAATCTTAAGTCGGATTGTTATTCGAAGTAGGCTGTGTTATATCATTTCAAAGAGTGGGCTTGTCGGGCGTCGCTCAAAATCTCTCGAAATACCCGAAATTTAAGGGTTTCCGGAGGATATAAAAAAATCACCTTCAATTGAAATATTTAAGAAGTCCCTTGAAAAACACATTTTCACATCATATATTTCAACTCTTGTTTAGTTTCCTTACAATCTCATCTGATTTATTTTTAAAAAAAATATTGCTGGATAGGCTAGCTAGATGTTATTTTCACTAGAGCTCCTGTGAATACTTTTCATCCAGCATTTAACATTAAGCTTCAAAGTGCTTGAGAACGAGCAATGAGAATGATTATACTACTTTGTTTTCCATGTAGCATTAGGATATTCCATGGTTAATATTTTTTTTTGTTCATGTAAAGCACGTGGAGGCAATGTATTGTATTATGCGCTATATAAGACTTACATATTATTATAATTTTTTTCAAAGGCTTATTTAATCGGGTTTGAGGTCTACTAATAGGCTTATGTATAAAACACATATACACTTTTTCTCTCCCCGATTATCATATTTTTTAATGTTGTGTCTGTTGTGTGTTCTGCTTTTGTTAATTGTTTTGATAATACAATTTATTCAATTTATTACATTCTGTCAACCGAAAGGAAAAGGGGCAGTATAAATGTTAGTACCGGTGCCAGTACCAGTGGGTGAAGTTGGGGGGGGGGGGGAGACAGCACTCCCTGACAGGCCCGTCCCATGGTACCACCCCTGTTAAGTTCTCGTCGAGGACATTGGACAACCTGTCTGTCGGGGTCATAGAATGTGAAACCGGGCATTCACGATGACCGTTGGCCGCCGAATCAAACTCCGCCCCCTGTGAACGCTAGACGACGAGACGCCGTCTGCTAATCATCGGTGTCCGTCTGAACGGATCGTCATTAAAAATGTTTTCCATGGAGTCGAGTTAGCCGATGGCTGTTGGACGTAGTGTGTGCCCGGCTTAACGCTACCGCAATATGGTTTAAAGTTTATCTCCTCACGTAAATCAAAAACACATAATTTCAATTTATTCAATTTAATTATAAATGTCTTAACGCTAACGCAATATGGTTTAAAGTTTATCTCCTCACGTAAATCAAAACACATAATTTCAATGTATTCAATTTAACTATAAATGTCTTAACGCTACCGCAATATGGTTTAAAGTTTATCTCCTCACGTAAATCAAAACACATAATTTAAATGTATTCAATTTAATTAAAAATGTTTCATCATCAAATGTTGTCCTACAGAAAACAATAAATTCTTAAACAAAATTTATGAAAGTAAATCACACTAGAAACGCGACAGCTATTGTTGATTATTATTAAGGAACATAAGCAGAGTTTAAATTGTTAATATAATACTAAAAATATTCTTTATAATGAGTTTACAGCTATAGTTTGTCCATCGTTAAGGCTATACTTGAAGCGCGAACCGTGCTTAATTGAATTCAATTTGATATACATATTTTAGTTATTACATAAGAAGAACATCAATAAAATATAAAACATTTTAAACTTTATTCTTAATCTACAGCAAACTATTTTTAGTTAAGTTTAATAAAATCGTATGTGTAGACCTAAGACGTGAGATCGTAATAAACTCAACATTATTATGGAGTGGAATGATTGCCATTTTTGATTTATTGATAGTATTTTGTCATGAATATTCTTTTCACATCGTCAATAATTTAATCTGCCTTATAACTAGACATTTAGCATGCATTATGGAGGAGAATCGTATACAATGGCTACAATAGTTATTCTGTACCCTTTTTAGAAGTTGGAGTTAAATAACTCCTCAAAGATAATGGTATATAATTTTGTTGAAGCTTGCAGTACACCACGTAGGTAGTTGTGAAAAGAACTGTTGTAGTTGAGAAAGTTTCGACGTTTCGATTGAGTTGCTTTAATCGTCTTCAGGAGAATAATAGGCAGTTTTCGCCCCACGACGTTAACCTTAACCTTAACGGATGACATCATAGTTTATTCATCTTGCGTTGCGGAGTACGTTAATTTAAGGATTTTACGTGCTCAACGTACGTTAGTTACGGGTTTGCGCATGCGTATTTCGATTTGTTTACAAAAGGGGCGGAGCTATCGCGCTTCCTGTTTGTGTACTAACGTTAAAGTTAAGCTTAATGTCGTGCGTCGAAAACTATCTAATATCTGATATTATTCTCCTGAAGACGATTGAAGCAACTCAATCGAAACGTCGAGACTTTCTCAATTACATCAGTTCTTTTCAAAACTACCTACTGTACATGGTGTACCACAAGCTTCAACATATATGTTATTACTTCGCCATGCAAACCTTCAAACAATACTTAGAATATATTTTGTAAAATGTTTCATATCGTTTGATAATATTACTTTTGTCGTTCTAAAACCTGAAACCTGTTCCACAACAGCTCCTTCTCTAAAACTATTAAAACGTGTAGATTTCTTATTTTATTGGAACCATATTTGTAATTTTGTGATTATCTATTCATTGTTAGAAAGGTAAATTAAAACTGCCCAATACGTTGTACTGTATATGAGTATACATAAAATCACTACATGCTACCGCCGACAACTTTTGGTGATCGTTCGGTCGAATCAGAGA